ATTTGTTTGTTAAGTATGGCGGTCAAATATCTATCATAAAGTTTTGTTTCAATAATTTATAATAATAAGGGAAATTTAAATTAATATATTTTATTTGTGTTACACATTATGCGGTCAAAATTGGCACAGTCCAATCATGGTACAAAATAATATGAATAGATGGAGGGAAAGATATTTCGATTACAGCTGTCGGGATATACCATTTTATCATTACCCTTGGGGTTAAAGTTTTATAAGTTATTCTGAATATATTTATGAAAGTGTATAATGGTATATATCATGTACCTGTTGCTCCAATAATTATATTTTATTCTTTCCAGAATCGACCATCAGATTGTGGAAACATTATATGTTTTTTACAGTTAATAAAACCTTTATAAGAAATAACTTTTTACCCTTTAACATAACAATATTTAGATTATCTTAGTACTATAAAGTCTTTACTCCAATCACTGTGTCATTTATTGCAAACACAATACGAAAATGCTTTAAATCTATATTAAGATTGCAGTTTGAATGAAAATGAAGACTGCAGAACTGTGTGTGTAAAAGTGTGTGATATTTTTTTTTCAAATAAAATTTCATTGTTTTATAACATGTGTTTATACTTTCTTCCTTTCATGTATAATACTTATCAATAAAAAAGCAATTATCATAGAAAAAAGAACAGTCGTTCTCAACCCAGCGAAAATGTGGAACCGCCCAAAAGGTACAGTGTAATGGTAAAATCACCGCGAAATGTCCAAGAATTATAAATATGATATAGTTCCTGGAATTGTTATTATTTCATGGATGGCAATTCTGATGCTGAAATTGTTTTCGCACTTAATAAAATTGATTAGAATACTCTAAGTCTAGAATTTTTTCCTATCCGGAATCCTGATTTTCATTATTTGCAGTATGGCCACATATTATTAATTACTTTTATTGAAATGTGGTTTAATCAACTATACATTTAAGCAACAGACCAAAGGCTTTACTTTGTGTTGTCATTTACGAACATGAACCAACATAAATATATCATTGATAAGATTACCGAAGTAATACGAAAATGGATCGTGCGAAATAGGCCTATTGCGGCCATTTTCCTAGCATTACACCTTTGGCCTTTTTATAAATGTAAAGACGAACCTCCAAGCTATCACACTGGCTTATCATACGAATGGTATTCGATTTCCGGTTAAGTTGCATAATTGTATGTTGGCGTCACGAGTCAAAATAATTGACGTCAATGACGTAATCGCGAATCCGTCAGCGAGTTTGTACATGTCTATTGCCGGGACATGCTTATTCTTTTGAAAAATATTTGACAGAATGCTTAGTACGCTTATGCATACGGTCGTGGTACAGTTTGGTTATAATATCCATGAGGTCTGATACTGGAATTTTTGCGACACTTTCTGGTTCGGCGCAAATTTTCAAGAGAATCAAAATGTCGGCTTTCTTAATGGGTGAAAATGAGCGATAATACAAGGGACAAGACACAGGCCGCATGGTGAATTAGAGTAAGGCACTATTTGTTACTCATCAGGGTCCTTCGGGATCATTGATTCAAACTCTGTTAATTGTTGAATATTGAGTACCGCTCCAGCATATGCTTGGGGGCGTGTGGGTTGATGCACTATTTCATTATTACTTCATGTACAGACTCAATGCAATCCGCAAGGTGATTTTTATTGGAATATGTTTCTTAGTTTCAGTTTAATATTTACAATTTTGCTGTAACCAACATTTTATTGAAATAGATATGCCTCTGTTAAAGCAAATTATTCTTACATTCATCAGTTTCTGCAGGATAGCTTTGGAAAGTTTTCAAAAATTATCTTTATATTTGGCATGCATGTTAAGTATTTATTTTTATAAAATATAATAAGTTGTGTTAAATACCCTTTGAAATTTATAGGTTCTTGGTAGTATATGGTATATCTGTATTATAAAAAAAAAACAAGAACAACAAACATAACAAGAATTTGTAACAGAGTTACCAACGTAACCCTCCTCAGGGAAATTTTATATGAAGCATAAGATTGTGCTATATAATAAGATTGAGATATGGATTCTAGGACTTTCAGTCCAAAATTATGATCAATGCTAGATCTGCAAATGCAACAATTAATTTATTTAAGAAATAGAATGAAACACATCATGTTAAGCTTTGACCTCTAAGTGTGACCTTGACCTTAGAGGTAGGGATGCAGGTGTTGTGCATGACATATCGTCTTATAATTGTAACTATTTTTGTCAAGTATTTGCAAAATCCCTTGAACAATGAAGAAGTTATAGATCGGACACAAAATATACCCTATAACAGACTATGTTAATCTTTGACCTCTAAGTGTGACCTTGGAGGCAAGGACCCATGTTTTGTGTCTGATACATCGTCTAATTATAGTGATTATTTGTGCAATGTATTTTCAAAATCCCTTGATTTATAAAAAGTTATGGACTGGACACAAAATATATCCTATAACAGACTATATAAATCGTTGACCTCTAAGTGTGACCTTGACCTTGAAGGTAGGGACACAGGTGTTACGCATGACATATCATCTTATCATTGTGACTATTTGTGCCAAGTATTTTCAAAATCCCTTCATCTATGAAGAAGTTATGCACGGGACACAAAATATACCATATACTAGACTCGGTTAATATTTGACCTCTAAGTGTGACTTTGTGGGCGTGAGGGATGTTGCACTTATCCATTATCTCTCATGTACATGCTCAATCAAACCGAGTCTGCAATTCTTATGTTGTTTTGTTGTAATTAATGCTTCCGAGGGATCAATTTTGTACTTCACAACAGCAGGTGTCAAGTGCCGTGTGGCAGCCGTAAAAAGTTGTCCCGTGCTTCACTTCAGTGTTGTTATATTTTCTGGTCCTTCGGGATCATTTATGCCAATACTATAAAGTGTTGAGAATTGAGTACCGCTCAAGCCGGTGCTAGGGTACGTGGATGATGTTGCACTTTATGCATTTTTCCTCAAGTATAGACTCAATCAAACCGAGACTGCAATTTTCATGTAATTTTGTTGTGATTAATGCTTCCGAGGAATCACTTTGTTTCCAGAATTTTGACCTTACAGGTAGGGGTGCAGGTGGTGTACTTGATATATCGTCTTATTATCATATTATATTTCAAAATCCCTTGAACTATGAAGAATTTCTAGATCGGACACAAAATATATCCGATAACACACTATGTTAACTTTTGACCTTAGATGAGACCTTGACCTTAGAGGTAGGGATGCAGGTGTTGCGCATGACACATCGTCTTATTATAGTGACTATTTGTGCCAAGTATTTTCGAAATCCTTTGATCTATGAAAAAGTTATGGACGGACACAAAAATAACCCTATATTACACCATGTTAATGTTTGACCCCCAAGTGTGACCTTGACCTTGAAGGTAGGTGACCGCATGACACACCGCTTTATTATTGTTAACAATTGTTGCAAGTATTTACAAAATCCCTTCAAAGATATGAAAGGCATGGACAGGACACAACATATACCCTCAAATAGACAATGTTGACCTTAAATGAGCAAGTGCGACATTGACACTAAAGGTAGGGGTCTTGTTGTTGTGCATGATACATTGTCTGTTATTATAACAAACATTTCTGCAAAGTAATTTCAACTTCCTTTGATAAATGACAAAGTTATGGACCGGACACGTAAGTGTGACGGATGAACGGACGGACGTGCCAACAATTGGGGTTTATATGCCCTTTCTTTGTCATTATGTAAAAATACCACATAAACCAGTCGGTTTATGAAATTTCCTTCTTTTTTTAACCAAACTTATGGACGGAATGAAGCTCATAGACCATTGGATGTTCGCCGGGCAGACGGACGTGCCGACAGACGGACGGACGGATGGAGCCTATTTTCATATCCCCTTTTTTCTTCGTAAAGGCAGTTGACAAAAAAACGAAGCACTTATGATAGAAACAAACAATTAATTAAAACTGATATTAGTGCTGTGAAAAGGTTAATTAAATCTAATTAAAACGTAAACGTAATAACACCGGAATAAAAACGATGAAGATTTAAATTAACACACAGAATATCAATTTTGAAAGTGACTTTATATGCGTCCAAATGGTGTATGCGTCCTTGAAGTGAGGAAATAAAAAAAAAATTTGTGGTTGCATACGTATATGTCAAATATCTTCGACGAATAAGACAAACATAATCTTGCTAGGCCCTTGACAAATTTTTTTCGGCAGATATTGAATATAACTCCGCAAAAGATAATTAGTGAATCCCATTTGTCTCTTACAGATATAGAATATATCCTGCTATATACAAGTGTAATTAATATATGGTAACATGTGCGGATTGTTGTATGATGTATAAATTATATGATGTGCATTTGAATTCAATTTAATTACTGGTTTAATCATGCATTTTAGAAAGTACTTTTCCCGATTGTGTCGATGCATGCAAAGAAAATAAACCCCAACACATACAGTTGGTGTATTTACTTTTGAAGTATTAGCAACATTTATATACTTATAAATGAAATATTGAGAAACAGTGATAAGATAAAATGCGTATTTTCGTTTTTCCGTGAGTTTACTTAAAAAGATATTTTTTGCACTGAAGTGAAACATATTTTTCGTATTTTCGCTGGTGTCTTATTGGACTACTTTCTTCTAAATTCAGTCAATACATAAAATTCAAGAAGTCCTTCAAATTGTATTGTCAAACAAAGATTTATTTCCATCTTGTTGTATGAAAATTACCATATTTCACTCGTGGCTACTGCCACTCATGAAATACTTATTATCATAATATCCACTAGATATTCTTCATTTGTCATTCTTAAGATGAAAGTCAAAATTTATAACTTCTTATGTATTTAAGTATGTATAAACATTTACTATAATATAAATCTTGGTTAAGAATAAAACAAATATGTATTTAGATTTATTGATTTTCTATGTATAAATTTATTATAGTCGTGCCATTAATGATTGTTATCTCGTTATAAAAAGGCTTGTATTTAAACTATAACAGGTATTTCGCAATTACATTTCTCATCAACACGAACACATTTTGCAAGAAATTAATATATAATATAACGCAACAATTTCCTTAAAATAACTTAATTATGTGTTTCAAATAGGATTGTTTTCTCATCTTTACAATGATTAAAGTGAAAGAAGTGGAAGATAAACAGGAATATTGAAAGTAAGTAAGAAGTGTGTTGTTTGCTAGTATTTAGGATAAAACGATTTGATTTCAGAAAATTGTGATGTAAATACAGTTTGTACAAGACATTGTATTTGCTACTTACGATTGTTAAGCAAATACCAAGTTATAATTTTATATGGTTTGCACATTTAGATAAACAAAAATGCACAAAGTATTGCATGAAAAAGAGATACAACATTTATGGACATTAAGATATGTTTTGAAAGAAGAAAAAAACAAACAAGAAAATAATATAAAAAACATAACAGAGGTAGAGAGGTTTCATCAGGGAGGCGTTACAGTAGTGACGAAGACGCATATATACCGCCAAAAAAGAACAATGCACATATTAGTAACTTGTCATAAAATTATGACAACCTTCCATAACTCACATAACTAAATAATATATAAACAAGTTATATTTTAAATTAATAAACTATCAATTTATATGACTTTTACTTAAGATTCAATTTAAAGTTGAAGAAAGAAAAACCTTTACCAAGGCAGCTTAAACACAAACATGTAAAAGGTGCTCAAGCTTGAATTTCTCATCTGTAAAGTATAGAGATTTTATTATAATGATTGAATTTAAACTACCTACTTCAGCTATTTACGTTTATTTGTACACGTTTTGAAGAATGTAGCGAAAACGAAGCCTATAAAATGCCTATTTTTTCTGAACGAAAAAAATTTAGCTTTATCGATTTTAAAATCATTATTCGACGTAAAATTTCAATTATTTGAAATAAAGTATTGTATGTATTGCAGCGAACCTGAGTCGGTGACAAAATAACCTTGTGATAAGAAAAGAAATAAGTTTAAATATTTAAACACTGATACTAGATCGGCCATAAATAGCAGTGTCAAATTGTACAAACGTACCAACGGGTTGTTTCAAATATCTTCATTTGTAATCTCTTACAAAGATTATACATATATAAGGCAAATTGTAAAAGGAAGTGTAACACATTTTCGTCAACTTGGCAGATAATAGTAACGTTAAAAGGGGATTATTTGGGACGAATCTATCCCCAAGATATCAGTACTTCATCAAACACCAGAGAAAAACGCACTCTGTATCCATTACCTAATAATAAGATAAACAAATGCAAAGAGGTATTTTATACGAATATATAATAAATTTTCGGCCAAATACTATAAAAATAAGGTTATTTGTTAGCTGGTGGCGTTGCAGTGCACTTCATGGTTGCCTAGAATGCGCAGCGGCGTCATGTTCAAAATCAAGCGCTGGTGCTCAACTTAGATATTATGTGAACATAAAGGCCGAAACTATGGTGGCTGATTTGTATCATTCATATTTTCGCCAGGCGACCCCGCTAAGAGGAAGGTCGAGAGTTATCAAGTTGAAATGGCGGAGACGCGGAGCGAAAACACGCTAATTAGCGGGGGCATGGTTTATTTATCAAACTTTGCCCGCCCCGCCCCCTCTTATTAGCGTGTTTTCGCTCCGCGCCCCGCTGTTTTATTTCTTAAATTTCGCCCTCGCTTATTAGCGTGTTCTCTATCAGAAATACATAACATCACATTGGCATAAATGTTTGTTATTTAGATAAAGGAGATATTTTATTAATTACTTTAATTAAAATGTGTTTTTATCAGTATACATTTAATCAACAAACCAAGTTGATACAGAAATGGACCGTGCGAAAGGACCCCTCGCAGTCGTTTTTCAAGGGTTTTACCTTCTCACTTTTTATTGTTGAAAAGACAAACTTTCAAGCTATCGCTTTGGCTTATCCGCAACGGAATTATACGGCCGCTTCGTGAGCTGCGAGGTAGTTAAATGAATGGTTACCGATTTCTATCTGCCTGGCGCCTGGCATAGTGATAGGAATGGGAAGGTACATGGTATGCAAGCAAAAGGTGTCTCATAAGTCAAAATGGCTGGCCCTTTCAGTAGGGGTGACACTATAATAAACAAGACATTTACCATTACCTTTTATACGAATGGCGTCATAACGGTAGGCCCAAGGAAATGGCACTGTTTTATGTCAATTTAAAACATTATTTACAGAAAACACAAGTCGTCTATTTAGAAATTGACAATGTAATTCAGTCATCTTGTGGCAATTTTCTTTAACCTTCATTTGAACAAGAATCACCTCCAAACTAATTAAACGGCTAATCTGCAACGGAAGCAGACAAATTGTGTCGAAAGTTTTATGCTATTTCTTGAAATCATTTAAGATGTCAGTAATAATGGATCTACACATTAAACCCATTGTCGGTTACCAAGGGTATATATTCCGTACAAACTACATAATATACCGTTGGATATTTCACTGGCAAACCTCCGAACTCATGCATAACAGATAAGACATTTGACTGGTTCCGTTGCTAAAACAGAGCGAAAAATCCCTAAATTAAACGGCGCTTCGCTCAGCGATATATTTATGCTGTGTCAATAGACTTTCAAAAATAGAAGTTAAAAATTAACATTACCGACTTTCAACCATTTCAACTTGAGGCTTATATTTACCGTTAACTTGAAATTTTATTTCATTTTATTTATTTTGCCATCAGGAGATTTGTGGCTTTAAAATGAAATAGTTTAACTTCTTATCTACTGATGTACAAATATACATTCACTTAAATATATATTCAATAAATAAATGTGTATTTTGATTTGTGAATTTACTACGGGTAAGATATAATTAGTCATAAGATGTAGTGTGGTTATCTCATTACAAATTTCGTATCACGTATTTCGCAATTACAGTTCGCATCAATAAAAAACATGCAAACATAAATTATTTTATGTCTTCGGACGGATGTTTATAAGGGAGACCTGAAGCCGGGAGGTTACTAATGATTTGTCTTTTTGTATTTAAAATTTCATAGCTCTGCAATTTTAATTAAATTGAGCAATCAACATTTAAAATTTTACCGTTTTGGTGCATGCTTTTTCTATTTGATACTGATCTTTGAAAATTTGTTTTCTAATAACAATTGTAGGACATCATTACAAGGTTACTCTGTGTTTACAATTTACTCCATATAGCGAAAATGTTTGAGGAGGAGAAAGTGAATGAAGACGAGAAGACAAGTAGTCAGGTGTAAGACAGTTAAAGAATGCATTGAAACTGAATTGGGTCGATATGGTTTACTAGAGGACAAGGTGTTCCGGGATACTGATAGCATGGTATGTCATTTATTAACTTATAAGATCTGTTAAATCATGGCTTTTTCCTGAAGTCACAGTTTCACGATTGACAGTGTACGGGGAGGTATCCAATAATAAAAATGTGATTTTCGCGTGATTTCAGTACATAAGATCATTCTAATAAGTCTGTAATTAATTTGACTGAGTTTTTCTTTAATGTTCTTGTGCACTGCACTGTAAAATATTTTAAATATAAGCTCTTTATTTCTGACGGTACCAACTTCATACCAAAATGCAAATATTTGTTATTTATCATTATCGATTTTTACATGACCAATAATTTTTTTAGAAGAATGGGAACATGTCATAGTGTTACTGGGATGGTCGTTTAATAATCACTTTTGAGTATGAGTTGAAAAATGTTCGCATGGGAACCGGTATGGATATGTAACAAGCAACAATCGTATTTAGTCAAAGCCAAAGAACACCAAGAGAACCCCGTTGGCGAGACAATGTAAAAATAATTAAAGTAATCAGAAAAAAAATCTTTAAGAAAAAAGGCGAGTCCCATTCATTTCCCTTTCCTGGAACCAGATTTATTTTTAATATCATTATGAGACCAAGTAACCCCTAAAGCAGGGGCATTTATAACCATAAGTGCATTATCTGTTTATGTAACTGTGTAAGATCTATGATATTGAAAATGTTGTGCATGTATAAATACTGACATTAAACAACAATAATGTTTGTTTTACATGATACAAATTAAAAGAAAACTACAAATTATATTATACCAGAATTACAAAAGCACAAATTTTAATCCCCCCACAATGAATGATAAGAAATCAAAATGCTTTTTTTTCAAATAATTTTAAGTATGACGTTAACCCTTATCCATGGAAAGCTGAATCGGCACTCTGTCATCGTCTCTGTACTAGTGATAAGTCTGCCAAATAGGTTTGTTAATCTTCTTTTTATCAAAAGATACAGAAAATGCACGGAATTTTGTTTATATATATATAGTGACTCAATGGGAATTTGACCTTAATCCGAGAAAGCCCAAACCCGCACTCTGCACATTCTCCCATTATGTTTAATAGTTCTGTTAAGTAGTTTCAATTTCCTTTAATCGGTTTAAAAATAGAGAGCGGACTTAAATCTGCCAAAACACGGACGGAGTACCAGGTGCATTATTATATAATTATGATTATTATAACATCTTATCATCCCTTGGACGGTATCGCTTGCATTATGCATAATAATAATTCATTTTGCGTTTAAAGATATGTTACTACTGTTTACATTTGATATTTATATGTTAAACTAACTATCAAACTATTTTCAAAGGATAACGAAATAAAAGGCACAGAAGAAGAGTTGAAACGAAGGTTGAAGTGCGGCATGAAAATCTTAGATGAAAATTTGAAAGAATGCCTCGCTTTGAACAGGGATTCCATTTTAACGCAAATGGACACTTATTTGGTGGACGAAGATAAACATTTGTTATATCTTAAATATCCTGAAGTTTTAGAGCCAATTATAAACATAGATACATGGACTATTCCTCTTCTCAGTTTCGTGATGGCAAGACTTTACAAAAGAAAGGTGGCAAGCTGTGTTGACATTAATTTTATTCGGCTCATTGACATGAGTATAAATAGAACAGTGCGCTTAAAAGCAATCTTTGATGGGAAACTAGAAAATCTTATAAATAAACTTGATGGTAAGTATAAAAAACAATGCACTTTAAAATGTTTTGATGTAAATTGGGGACATCTTAAAACGCGTTTGATTTTAACGTGAAAATCTTGTACTGTACTACTCTCTCCCTTTTATTAGCAGAAAATATTTATATTTCAAAATATGGCAATTATTATTTGCAGTTTATTGAATAAACTGATGTCTTAGTGTTGTCCACCAAATTTATTTATCTTTTGCACAGTGTTCAAACAGTTTTTGTATGAAAAAGGAAGTGTTCAAAGTGATAACGTCGAATTGAATAACATATTATTTAATTAAACAAAACTTTTACATCAAAAGTTGAATAAGTAAATTTTGATCGTCAAGTGTACCAAAGATAACCCTTTTAATATTGAAGAAAACAAACAAGATGTACACAATCATTAGAAACATCTTGTAAATCCATATTCATGGTAAAATAGTTTATATATAGAAATCAGTTGTAAAATGTTTGACAGACGGTATGTCCATATATAAAACGGTTGTTTTCATCCGTTAGGTAAGGGCTATATTGAAAATAACTTTAATATACGACCTAATAAACGATCGTTATAATTTATTTGAGAAAAAAGAAAGAAAAATGTTCCATATATTGATAGCAGCCATACATATAAATTATACATAGGCATGTAAGTCAAGGTTCAAATTTGTTTACTATTTAATGACCAATTAGCTCAGTCGGTAGAGCAACGGTACGGTATTCCAAGCGTCTCAGTCAAGTTGCACATTTTTCTCACCCATTTACAAAAACGTATCGATTTTCCATGGAAAGCGGGAAAGCGACGACGCAAAATTGCAGTATTATAAAGTTGTTTATAGATCAATGCAATATAATCTTTAAAACAACAAAAAAAAGTTTTTCATATCTATCGGCAGTGTTAACAGTAACAAATACATCTGCGAGTAAACTGTAAACGTCTTATTAACTTCAGATATTCATTATTATGATTAAAATGATTATGTACATAATTATGATATTATATTACACAGGTGATGAGATAAGTCAACATTACAATCTTGAAGACTATGTTATAAAGGTAATGTTGAATATGTACAATTACAAAACCATTATTATCCTACCAAATGTTTATGCGGTAAAATATGTTCAGGATATGTATTAAACGCAAGTTATCTTAGTATAGCTATGCCTGCTAATTTTCTAATGTTTGTCTTTATTGTTGAAGTGTAAACAAATTTTGCTAAATGACTCATTTTGCACATGTATAATGTCTTATAGGACGAAGAAGGTGTTGAAACAACACAAAAATACTTGTTTCAAAACTTATGTAGCGAAGACACAACTGAAGAAGTTAGAGGAGAAATATCGGACAGTTTTAATGTAAAAGGTTTGTACGTCTAGTATACGAATGTGTGACAAACGAAATGTATACTTTATTTTTAAATTACGTTCTCATGTTTGCAATCCACATTGCTAATCAGTTTCGGTATAAAATGTGCTTAGATTATGATACTTTATGACGATTTTGTTGAAAGTTGCATTACTTGACCTTGATCATAAATTACAACACAGATGACAATACTCAATATTGAACAATATTGCAAGGAGTTCATATTACGCATGGTATTAAGGCATTTAAGTAATGGCCATCCTAATGCATTACCTCACATTTGAAGAATATTGAAAAATTCTAGAACTATTGTTAACTACGTTTTGTCACCTCTACATATAGGAATCACTTCTCCGTCGTCTGTCTGTCACTATGCCCGTCCGCCGTCCCAAAACTTATCCGGACTACAGAGAAACTACTGAAAGTACGAAGTCTTGTTGTGCATATCGTCAGCATTTTCCGGTTCAATGATTTTTGTCACAGCTATGACTCTTAAATAATTTTTATTTTAAAAGTTTGTCCGAACTACTCCTCAAATAGCACTTATGCAATTTCAATGAAACTTTTCAGGATTAATTTGTGACTCAAGTATTTGCGCATATTACTCGGGGTTTCCGGTTGAATGATTTTTCGCCGAGTTATGACCATAGAATAAAAATGTGTTTTTGTGTGCTGTCAGTTTCACAAAGGCTTTTCCGGACTACTTCTGAAAAACAACCAGTGCGATGTCATCCAAACTTTACAGGAATGATCACTACCAAGTCTAGTTATGCATGTCAACAGCTGTTAATGGTTCGATGATTCTTTTCAGAGTTTTGGTCCATTAATGATTTTGATTTTAAAATTTGTCCGAACTATCTCCTGCTATACCAGTAATGCAATTTCAATGAAATTTTTACAAAATTGATCGGTAGCTCAAGTTCCTGTGCATATTACACGGTTTCTTAGATTAAATGATTGTTGGCCCAGTTATAGTATTTATGAGGCAACATATGTGATCACTGATCGTTCTTTTTTTTCTTTTAACATTATTATATCTCATATCATATCACTTTTGGGAAGAGAACAAAAGTTTAATTTTAATTATGAAATAAATAAATGTATTTTTGGCTATAACAAATATGGTTACAGATATTTTCAAAGTGTTGTAAAATCAAAACTACAAGGTCAAAGTATTTAATATTCTACAAGATCAACCAATATATTTTTGAAAAAAAAGAAGAAGAAAACAGGCACTCATTTTGGTAAATTTTAGAGGCTTTTTTTAAATTAGGTTCTCAAAGCATGATATGGGTAGGGTAATATCTTATACATATTTCATAAATTTTAAGTAGAAACAATTATTTTGCTTATGTGGATTGTTAGCTGAATATTACAATTTGTTTCTTACCAAGAAATAATGGGAAAACATTTTTCAAAAGGATGAAATTGTAGTGTAGATTTTCTACAGGTTCCTTATTTTTCAAAAGGGCCCTTCTAATATCAGTTCTGAAAAATCGCCATTACTCGATTTCCCTACGGAAAAGTTGTTTTAAATTTTCCATACAGGTGTCCTTTAAGGTGTAAATCTTATATATATATTATGTTGTCAATTTGTCAGATCCTTATACTGCCCGTTAGGGGTGTCATATTTAAAGCCTTGATTTATATTTACTTCAATCTATTAGGAAAAAAATTGATGCTACATATATTGTTACACTTATTTCAAACTGCCCTTTTAACAGAAATGATAGCCAATGACTTAATCTTACAAATTAGACAATATAACAGATTTTGTAGATTTAGGTTTTTCTTATCTCTTGGCACTTATGAATCGTTTTTCTAATTATGCCGTGTCAATTCAATGATGTAAACAGGCAGATGACAATGATATACAAGCTCTTATGAAAAGATTTGATTAAATTGAGTCTTTGCTTGTGTTCATTGTGTTAGAATGACCACACTCGTTTATTTATTTATTTATTTTTATGCAATATACCAATGACAAATACAAATTTCATTACTTTTCTAGATTGTAAAACTCTAGTTATATGTAGACTAAAAAAGCGAATAGTGTTTTATATGTTTGTAGAAAAAAAAATCGAATGTTATTTAAAATGAAAATGGATAATAAATCATTATTTATTAGAAGATGATAAAGAGGAGACAGAAAAAGACACAGAGGAGACACATAAGCGCGTTCTGGATAGATCACTATCGACAATTAAAGAATGTATGAATCCTGAACCGATTCTTGATAGTTTGCTTGAGGACAATGTTTTCCAGTATATTGATATTCGTGATATCATGGTATGTCATAAATTTACTTTGTGGTCCAGTAAAGTAATGACTGTTTGCTATAACTAACAACTTCATAATATGAATGGATTCTTTTTCTTTCTAAAATCAATAAAAAAATAAAGAGACTCGTCATGTTTGATAATTTTGATGGAATTTTCAATATTGCTTGGCCAGCCAAATAAAATTGGCAACCAATATTACAATGGTATATGGTAGACATAAAATATGTTTATATATACAAGTGCGATACTATTGACGTGCAATTAAGTGTAAAAAAAAGCTTACATTCAAATAGAAATTTCAAGTAAAGATTGATTGACAACGTATACATCTTAACCACATGCTTCACTGGAGTAATTTTGAAAAAAGTCATATAAGAATAATTTAACGAGATTGAAAAACAAAAGCACAACAAGAGGACTTCACGATATTGTAGTAATTGCCTACGAAAAAATCCTAATGCTGAAGCTCCATCACCTTCTCTTGTAATTTCATGTAGCGATCGAAGCAGTACCTCTACCGTTTTATTGTCGCTTGTCCATCAAGGATGTGCGCGTTAGTGATAAACTTTTACCATCTTTAAATGTTAATAGATAATATTACATATTCCATTGTTAGTTTGAACTGTTTTTATTCAGGAACAAACAAGTACAACGAAGAAGAACGAAACAATTATAGAAAAGATCAGACAAAACGGCACCGATGTATATAAACTTTTCAAAAATTACCTTGGAAAAAGCCAACAGTATCTTTTACTTAAGTTTATTGAAAATACTGAAAGAAGGGAAGAAACAACGGATTTACAAACAGAATTGAAGGAAGAATCTAAAAAAAGATTGAAAGGTTGCCTATTTTATCTAAATGCTTGGGGCGGGAATTATATTCGAATATTCGAAACACAACATAAATGCTATTTTGATTAAAAAGTGCGACAGTAATAATAATACATTTACTTATGAAAAAAAATATAATTAATTTAATTATATTATTCCATTTTTATGAATTTATAAAGAATATAAAGAAAACACAGACAGGTATGCAGGTATTTTTACAGTAGAATGGGTAAAATAATAAGTTTGCACAATGCCAATGTATAAAATAAGTGAGTACTTTTAGCATAGTTCAATCATCAGGAGTGTGAACATGTATTACTAGGCACAGCAAAGCACGTGACTGTGCATTGTGTAGTATTAAACAAAAAATGAATGTGTGCATATTGCATTATTTTACATAAGCCTTAAATTAGAATAAAATCGTCGAGGCAACATATCACCATTAAAAAACGAAAACATTATTTAACATCTCAGTATCCCCGAAATCAATAATATTAAACAAGTAAAGATGTCTAGTGTTTTAGCTAAACACATGTTTTTTTCTAGAAATCCGAAACCAAAAATCAAGTGCAGAAACATCTGTCAATCTAGTGGAAGAACAGTTGGTTATATCATTGAAAAGAGGAAATGGAAATGAATTGAAAGGGACAGAAGGTATTCATTTTATCTCTTGCCTACTTTGTCCCGCAGGCACTAGTTTACTGAGATGAGCTAAAAACTGGTATATTTATCATAAATGATATTTACAGCTAATCCCTATGTACAACCTATGGTTCAGATATAAAAAACAAAACAAAAAATCATCACTATTTAACAGCCAAAAGCAAATAGGAAACCTTATTTGTTAAAGGAAAAACGTCTCCTTAGAGGTAGATATCATATGACAGTGAAATTTCATATTACATTTTTATTACCCAGTATTGTGCAGTATTACCCTGTCATTTCCAGGGTTTCCAAGTATATCTCACTGGGCAATTCTCGTAAAATTGGTTTTTGTCAATCTTGACAAATGATGTAATAGCAGATGCTCAATAGTTAAACCATTGTAATTGTATATTTAGTAGATTATTTAATCCTTTAATATTTTACAACACTTGCATTTGCAATTAGTTACTCTAAAATTTAATTTACTAGTAATGGCTCTCCTTTTAGCTTGGTTCCAATATAACTTGATAAACAAAAAAAAAAACATTGATTCAAACATGAATTCTTTTCCTTACAGAGACACATCGCAAAATGATACGTTTTTATGGTTGTTTACAGATATCTATGTTGAATATCTGTTTACATCTCAATCAATGTTTGAACTTTGAAAAATGTTTCAATTCAGATATAGAGGAGAAATTGGAAATATACACTTCATCTTATCCCAGTTCAAAGAAATGCTGCAATGTAGTTAAAAACATTTTTGAAGGGACAATTGAAATGTTCTCAGATCCACTAATCAAAGCCGTTGAAGATGTAGCCTCTATTATTAACGTAGAGATCAAAGCTGCATCTGTGGATGAAGATAATACTGTTGTGGTGACTATGGCATGTGCGTCTTGTGAAGAAATAAGACTGTTATTACAGACACTGAAAGGGAATGAATTTAAATCAAAAATAGAAAACCTTAAAACTGTTCTTTCTAAAGAGTACGAAATTGTCTGCGTCATTCATGCCAAAGTATCACATGAAAAGATAAAGGAAGTGCAACAACATTTGAGTATGCATTATAGATTATAATTATTACTAAATAATAAACATTTATTTTCCATTGCTTTTTTCAAAATGTCTATTTAATTATTTATTATTGCTAAATTCACTGTACTTTTTCTTAGCAAACGCCATAGATTTGGTACTTACTACATTCTTTCCTTTACTGATATCATGCATACTTCTTTTATTTTAACAGTTTTTCATCTGCATTACATCCGATTGTCATCACTAACACAGACTTGTAAAGATCTATCAGTCAACTAGTAATGTGTGTTTTGACGATGTTTCCTGCAAGTCCTCTTAATATGTATAACGTATTAAATCAGTGCTATGTAAAATTTATATACACATCAATTTCATATATTCATGATTTATACAAAAAGTTTTAGTGTAAAGTTTAACTAAAGTTTACATTTGTATACATGTAACGTGAGGTATGCAACATTTTACTATGCCTTACTTTTCTTGACTTCAGTGGAACAGGGTGTCATAAATGAAACACACGCTGACGATTTATTCTGCGAAAATCATCCCCAGCAACAGGCTGAGCTGTTTTGTCCCGAACATGATAAGTTTGTTTGTCATAAATGCGAAGAAAAGCATAGGTAAGGCTTTAATATTAAACACAATGCACTTATGCACTAATATTGGGAGACTTATTTTCGTACTGCACAGTGAAGTACTCATGTAACTTGTTCCTGCTTTTATAATACATTGTTCCTCATTTTCGTCAGTATCATTGAAAACAGTACGTGCATGATTGCCAAATTTCAAATTCTGAACTACTTTTGTCCTCTTAAAACTACTTAGTAAATATCATGAAATGTATATGTTTTTGAACATAATGTAATCCATTGCAGATGAAACTTAAGCGAGGTCATTAGGTCTAATCAGTAAACAAAATATAACTATTAAAATATACTTTTGTTTTAGTTGCTGTATAAACACCGTGAAATCCTTACTTCAAACAAATTAACAGTAGGCTATTATTAGTTTATTTTATTATCTCTGTGTATATATTTGTATTTATCGCTGATTGTTTGTTAATGGGCATTAAAGTGTTTGTCTTTACAAAAGTTTCATTTTAGTCATCGAAATCATCTAACACTATTACGTTGTATTCTGTTTTGGGTTTGACAAAATCACTTTGCAAATGTTTTCAAGGATTCAGTTTTGACTTCAATCCATCAATTTAAACCACGTTAATGTCGGTTTTAATCGTATTCATTGGCAGCTGCACTTGTTTACAGAAAGTATGTATTGGAAATGCTTTGAAGTCAGTGACGGACGGATCCGTTTAGAATGCAACATGCATTTTTGTGTTGTGTTTTTGTATCAATGTAAAGTCATGTGGAATTTCTTCACTAAAATCCTGTTTGGTCTTAAGAACAATGTAGGGAAAACCGCTTTCTTCTACTCGTTAATGTCAAACAATTTTAAACAAATATTTCAAAATTTCGACACCCTGTGTACTTTCAATTTGATCTTATCACGCTGGAGGCTAGGTCTGAATTCTTGTCTAAATATTAAAATTGTTTTCCACTTAAACCATAAAAAACTTTAGGTAATTTTTGCATGCATGAAATTAGAATAAAGCTTAACCACAAACAAACATGGTCACGTTGTTAATAATAGTAATTATTTATCTTCTTTAGAATGTGCCAGGGTGTAAGACAAATAACAAAGGATGTTAGCACAAAAATATACAGGATCAGAAGTGATGAACCGGCAAATATATTGTGTACTACAATGAAACTTTGTACACTACCTTCAGGTGAGATTCTGCTCATCGATAATGTAAACAAAAAGTTGAAGAAACTTGATTTGACCTATAGCGTTGTAGGCCAATATATGTTTGATAAGTCGAAAACTCCGTTTGACGTTTGTGCAATTCATGCCTCAAAAGCCTTTGTTACCTTTGGCCACCAGGTTTGTGTAGTTAATGTTGGGGATATTGATATTCACGTAGAGAAGTTTTTCAAAACAAAGGCCCCTTGTTTTCGCTTATACAGAAAAAACAGTGTAATATACTATACCGACAACCTTTCCATCTATACGTGTGATGAAAACGGAGAAAATCATAAAGAGTTACATCAGTTTGGGCAGGAAACTTTATGTTATGCCTTTGTTGTTAATGATGACAGAAGTAAGATTGTTGTGGCTGCTGGAGAAGATGGCCTTATTATAATTGATGCAAACAGCCAAAATCAGCCGACAGTAACACTAAAAGAATTACAGGGTTGTACAGATCTATGCATAGTTAAAAGTCAAATGCTTCTCGTGTGTGCATCTAACACGTTATTTCTAGTAGATATCGAACTAGGAAAGGTATTGAAACAAGCTGCAATTGGGTTGCGCTGCCCTAGGTCGTTTGCCTTTGACGTTATAGACAATTCGGTGATCGGAGGCAATCTAGGAAATGATTTCATTTCAGTATTTAATGTAAATATTGAGTATGATGCTACATAAGACGTAATGGGTATTCAGGATGCAATTAAGCGCCTGTGTATGAACTGAAATAACCGCGTGTCATCTTATGTTTAATTTAGTCTATTGTGTCAAGTATTTACTTCAACTGATTTGCTGTGATATATAGTACATACAAAATATTTTTATTGTAATCATTAAAACATTTGAGATTGTTGAAATTAGTTTAAGTGTACACTCATCTTCTGGTTGTCGCTCACATTTGTTTTGTAAAGACAAATCATTTCTGTTTAATATTCTTGTTTTTAAACATTTTGTGTCATAAATATTATAATATCATATAATTTAGCGATTATACTACTGATTTTGTTTGGCATAGAAATTTGTTTTTGTGTGGTTATTAGGCTACTTATAATTTAAAAATATAATAATAATTACAACTGTATCATCGAATAAAATATTTTCATTAAAACAGTTTGACAGTTAGTTTAGTTAAACAGTTAGTTTAATCAGTATACATGTATATACATATCTTGCACACATATTTTAATGTTTTATATGATTTATGTTTGTTTTGAAATTCAATGTTCTATTCTTGAATGTTTTTAAAACATCATTTATGAATGGCATATTTATTCATTGTTGACAATCTGGCGGTATATTTTGAAAATAACATTATAAGAAATGTTTTGTAGTCCCCTACCGGTTTAACCGGAGGGGACTTTACGTTTGCCCTCTGTTCGTCTATCTAACCGTCTGTCTGCATTGCATAATAGGGAAAGTGGGCCATTTAACTGTAAATAAAAAAAAACAACACTATAGTTCATTCCGTTACAAAAGAATTGGGTAGAATGGCACTCCATTAAACAAAACAAGAATGATTATTTTCCATAACTCTGGTCTTTACTTTCGTGATTTTTCGACTCCAATTTTCAAGCATATGTTTCTTAATTTCACACAAAGCAGTTGTGTGGAGATTCAATAATCTTGCTTGATTATTTCCAGAATTATGGCTCTCTTGAACTTGAAATTATTATGTTTTACTGTAACTTCATTTCTTAAAGGGTTAACTTTAATATTTGAAAGCCCACATCATAATAATATGACAAGGTTAATTAATCTTACGTCCATATTTCCAGAATGATCCCCCCTTAAACTTTGATGTTTCCTATTCTACTACAGCAGGCTCACCGCGGGTTTTGCTTTTTCCGCGATACCACCGCGGACGATTTTTTTTTATCGCGGACAAACGCGGGGGTTCGTCCGCGATGAGAAGCCTAATTTCCCCGCGATCCCGGTGTTTAGTTGTTTCCACCGCGGACAAAATTCTGACGACTGTTCTTCATTCATCGATAAAATCAGTCACCCGTTTCCTGCGGGGGAACGCCATGGTCAGTTGGTCAGTATAAATTTACCTCCAAAAATAATAGACGTTTTATTATTTTTTAACGTCATCTTTTTTACACAATGACTTGCAAATTGACCACAATCGTCTCCTTAAATGTTATTATACGTTAAATTATTTGAAGGGAATTTGAAATAAAAATAATTACAGCTGTAATTGTTGTTGTTTTTAATATTCAATTGTATGTACTTAAAACTACATGTTCCTATGAACAATAATATCTTAAGATAAAAAAAAATTGAAATAGTTTTAACTTGAACATCGGTCGATGGAAGTTCTTAGAAAATAATTGCCATGTGCTTGTTTGCCTTATATACATGTATGTACATGCATACTGTTCATAATAAAATAACAAAAAGTATAACGTCAAGTTTAACAAAATTCTGCAAAAAGATCTATAAAAAAATATAAAAAAACAAACAAACAAACTACTAAAACAAAAATGAAAATAAACTCCAACAGTTGATACAAACTTCAAAAAATATACATTACGTTCACACCTGTAATTAGCTAAATCAAGAATATCATTTAATGTATATTTTGGTGAAATAAACGCTTTCTTTTAATGTTCCAAATAAAATATAAGACTTTATGATCAACATGCAAATAAACAGAAACAGTAAAACGCATCTGACAATTGAAAGAGACGTCCTGGAATATTGCCTGAATAAATTGTTGAGGGTTACGTTTTCAAAGTTTTTAAATAAGAAACAAAAGCTGGCATATAAATTGTTGCAGTATCTTTTTCATAAATGTCATATGCCGATTTTTTCATTATTTGACTTCAAGTTTCTCACTACCATGAAATTGCGACGACAATGATTTATCTTGATGTCGAATACATATTATACATTACCCAACACAATAACAAGAAGAAGAACAAGAAATACACTGCATTTGTACATGTACTTTTATTACAACAAAAAAGAAAACAAACAAACAAATTTTACATATAGTTATATGTACAGTACATGTTACAGTACGTACGTATACTGATGTTATACTGATGTTTAAATACAGTAATTAATTTTTAAAATTTAAGGTTTCCACCGCGTTGACCGGTGTTTGACCGCCGCGTTCCTCCGCAATTTACCACTGCGTTCCGCGGGGGAAACGATTTCAGCCGCTGATTTATGTCCGCGGTGGTGAAAATTTTCTGTCCGCGGGGTCACGCGACAATATCTGAGCAAATTTTCGTCCACGGTATACCTCATCCGCGGGGTCACGCGGGTTTTGAAAAAGCCGCGCTGAGCGTACTGTATATTACTCTCTTATTTCTTCATGGTTTTACAATAAATTCTAAATATATGTTCATTATCAACACCTACATCATCTGTAATTAGAATTTTTTAGTCTAGCATCTGGAATTCTATGATTATTCTAATTGTGAACTTGGATTAAGTTTGAAATTTCGTACAGTCATATTTTAACTTTTCTTCTCTATTACTATAAATGGTACTTACTTTTTACTAAAGAAATTGTTCTTTGTCATCGCTCATATCATGTATGAAAAGGTTCATTAGACTAAGTGTAGAATTTTTATTCAAGAGTTAATTCCTTTTTATTTTAAGAATTTTGATGAAAATATGTTAGAGTTTGGTTGCAACCAAGGAGGTTTAAAGATTAGCAATTGATCTGTCAGTCTTTCTGTCTGTCCGTCTTTTAAAAATCTTGGAAATGTTTCAACAAAATTATATAAAATAGAAGTGAATTGAAAAAATACATATTCATCTTAAGAAAATGTAAATTGGATCTTTTGATGATCTGTTGTATAAACATTACTTCCTTTTTAGGCAGGGACATTTTAACACCTTTATATGACACAGATAAACTATGAACTCAAAAAGTCATCCATGTCTTCCACAATGGCATTTTTGAATGGCCATGACCTTTCTGAATGTTGCTGACATATTTCTTGTAGGGTTCGAACCGGTATGGGACTTCTGTTTTGCTTGTAAGCTTTGATAATTGCTTGTTTTATTTGTAAATAAATGATTATAATATTGCTTATTGTTACACATATTACTAAATTATATCAACATTACAAAGGGAAGATACTCTGGTTTAAGCTGTTGAACCAGACCAATGATTCATTCCCCTTGGATTGAAAATGTATAAGTAATATGAAATAGCTGGCGTTTTATTCCGTTAAATAAGTTAATTCTGTCAAGCTTATTAGTGTTAAATAACATGAATGGAAATGTTTATGTAAAAGATATTATTGATGCCACAAAGATATATACGAAAGTTGTATCATAGTTTGGCGACCTTTCTGTTGAAAATGTGTCAGAGTTAAATCGTATACATATACATGCACAGTGCGGTAACTGGAGTGCCGGTATCAGTTACCCGCACTCCAAATCATGCCCATTGATTGGTTCATTTTTGCTGGGGTTTACTTATTGTGACGGCAGAGAAAGGGAATGCGACAGAAATATCATATTCAGATGCTCGTTCATTGGTTACTTTTTTCTTGGGTTTCATACTGTGACAACAGGGAACGTGTTTTTATGTATGACTATGATACAAAAGAGAAAGAACATCAAAACACTCGGTAATCTGATTTATACTCGGGGGCTACGCCCCCTCGTACAAATCAGATAGCCTCGTGTTTCGATGCTCTTTCTAATAAAATATACTAAAATATGTAACCTGAAAATTCCCTCCGATTAAAATTTATAAATAGACAAGAATGTGTATTACATGCATGCATTTTTGTTATTAAGCATTTTGATTTAACAACATTGAAAAAAATCTTTTGAATTGTGTTTAAAAACGAAATTATCATTCCGCCATTATGTTACTTTATTATAGTAATTTTATCTTATTTGTATGACAGTATAGAATAATCCCAGAAAGATATACTGAATGATTAATGAAAATGAATATTAAGCATGTTAGCTAAAAGGAATTGTAAATATTTCAAATCAGTTCATAAAACGAATATTATTTTACATTTTCATCTTTAATTTTACAATATGTAGACTCCATCAAATAAAAAACACGATTTATTGAAGTTAAACCACTTATATTTTCGTCAAGAACTACGTCAACAAGTTTCACCTTCTACTCAAAGATATAATAAATATTTGGATAAAGATATATGTACAATATTTATAATTTTGAAATGTAATTTTCAGTGTGAACTTATGAGTTGTTTTTGTCAGTTATGAATGTTAACATTTTTATTTGTTAAATCTTATAAACATGTTAGGTGTATTACCTATTACAGTACGTAAAACGCATGTACACCCAGCTACATTTGAAAAGGACATTTCATCATCTGAAGAACAATTATACATATATTTTTCGCCAATGTTGACTTTCTTAGTAATAACAAAATGCCATTTGTCACATGAAAAGTGTACTTAATCGTATCTTACATGACCAATAATGTAATTTGCCTGGTGCCACACTGTCATCAAAAACAAATTATTCGACATATTTGTGGCAAAAACAAATATTAAGTCATTACCTGCATAGGACAACTTTTCTGATACTTGATATTAAAAGAGAAAATAAACATTTCTGTTCTGGTACATTTACGTCATAAAACGCTTCTCATATAAGAAAACAAAGTGTTTCCTTTCAAAAGGTCGAATGCTCTATTCAAATGAAATGCATATGCAAAAGTATACCATTTAAGAAATCGTGCTGCCCAAACAGCTTGTACGTCAAACAAATGACCCCCATTTTTGGTTTTTATGAAGGTATGTACAAATTTTAAGGACAAAAATGATTTGATACAATTTATGATATTTCCATAACTTTAAGTATTTTAAAATTTTAAAAAAAAATTTTTAATAGTTAAAAATGAAAACTTAAAATTTTTGTAGATACAGTATGTTTTCAACTGTTTTATTCGAGCTTGGATAAATTGTATATTACTTTTCAACATATTTAAAAATGTAAAATGGCAAAAAGACGAGTGTAAAACGTTTTCCCCTGGGGAAACAATCTTTGAAAAACCCTTAAAAACCTTGAAATTAATACCCTGATAACTAGGTTTTATTTAAAAGCTAAAATGTTTATTTCCCCAAAAAAATATGTGATCTTTTCACAATTTAAGGGTATGTTTGTTTAAAACAAAAACCCATTTTAAATGATTTAATTTTCTTGAAAACATTTAGTATAGAATAAGTATTTATTATTTCCAGAGAAAACCCACTACAAAAAAAGAGATCCCCCACTTAAAAATGTCTTATGAACAATACACTATTATTTATAATGATAATTCATTTAATATCTCACTAAATATGATTTGACTCAAACTTTAACGTTTAATTATATTCCGTCGGAATGATATATTTAAACCTAATTATAAGATATATTTTCTACTTGACTGTTCGATGATTTAATGATTTAAATCAGTTTTAATATTTCAACGAAGATGTATAACCTACCATTAGCGCAATCGTTCTTTGACGACTATAGAATGTTGAAGATGATTACAAAAATGTAATTTTTCTCTGGGGACAAAAAAGAGTGTCTGAGATGTAATGATGTCCCTTTCAAGGCACCTGTTTCGGTGCGCTGCAATTGGGCCATTTTCTTGTCATTCAGGTATGTGTAGTACCTACTTAACTTGTTTACAAACAAAACTGATAACGGACTGGAGAGAAGGGGTCTGTAATTGTATTTGTATGAATTAATTTGTAGGGGCTGCATGACGGTGAATGTCAGCAAGAGCTACTTCTTATCATGAGAACCCAGCTAATGTTTCTCTCTAAATGTCGTTGGAAATTAAAAATGAGGCTCCTCATGGCTACTTTGAATAACTGAAAGGCACATGAGGTTTTCCCCCACAAGTAAAGCTGGAAAGTCGCAACATGTCCTATACTGTGTTGGTGCGACATAACCCCAACCCCGCTTATAAGAAAAATAATGTATTAATCACATAATCTAATTACTAGACGTATATATTTATGTGTTAGTTTTTTACAATCTTCAAAATATAGGTGGTATTTGTTAGTTGTGTCCTATGCATAATATTAAAATTGAAAATAAATTTTAGTTGATAAGAGGTAACGTAATATATGTGAGCAATAATTCATTTTCTTTAGAATGTGCAAATGTCTCTAAGGACAAATAAAGAGCGTCTGAGATGTAATGATGTAGTCTTATATCTAATTCTACATTTGATAGATTTGTAAATAGCTGTCTTACTGCAGTTTACAAAGCGTCAAACGTCTAAATAGATGTAATATACACAATTACTGGTGCGAGAAGTATGAGAAGTACTGTGGTGCAAATTTTTGTGTTGAGAAGAAAGAGACTATTTATATGAGGGATAGTTATCAATATCGATATACATATACATGTAGATATACAAATTTCTTAAAAATATAGATATTCATGATTGATGTTAGATTGCTTTGCCTCATGTTGATTAATGTTTAAATGTCAGTTTGCTTGTGAAAATTTGTTAATTCTGTAAAATGTAAATTGCATGTAAAATGTTAGTATGCATAAACGTTAGATACATGTATATATATGATATGTATGTATAATGTTGACATAATGTATAATGTGTATACGCTAATCTTTTGGAAATTTTAAAAAAGGTCAAAACGTTTATCTGTTAAATTTGATAAACATTTCTCGTCGTTAAGGGTAAATTTAAAATATTCTATGGTTTTTAAATAACAAAAAATTGTCCTCTTTTGGGAACAGATCCCGGTTCTAGGATTAGGGAAACAATGTAATTACTATTTAAAAAAATGTTTTTTAATTTTAGATACCCTTTAAATACGCAAACAATCTTTCAAAGGAAATCTCCAATAAGAGAAATTTAGCATATATATCTGGTTAGCATATAACTCATAAGTTGATAGAGAAAGGTATCAATGTAAGAAAAATATAATGTACTATAATCAAATTTTATGAAAACAATTACTGTTTATTACATCTTTTACTAAAAAGTTTAAATCTTAGTCAGTCACTTTAATGAAAAAGTAGATGCCAATCATTAGGAAACATTATGATAACTTCATGGAACACAAGACATCCCGAAAACAAAACAAAGCAACATTACTGTACATTTTTGTATGTTTTGTATCTGCCTAGGTATCAACCTTTCAGTTTAATGACAAAAGCATATTAAAAAAAGCTTGGCAGGCTTATATAATTTTGTACTAAGTACACTTAACATTATGAAGTTAATTGCAATAATGCTTCAACATTTACTTTCATAATTAACTTAAGTTTTGGGAAACTAAGCAGATTCGAGACACGAACAGAGCTTGTTTTTCTTACTATTCGTTTTAATCCTATTCGTCCTGTTTGATATTTTACATGTCAAAAAAAATATTTTGCGCATTGAGTCAACCAACAAAAGCAAGAAAACCATTTCTATCCTCATTCAATATTTCACGTCGATATTCTCACAATTTAATTATATTGGCTCTCCTAAAGTAATATTAAATGCAATTTATGTATTTGAAGCAAGTCCGTTTAAAACTAGATTGAATGATATAAGTTATATGTTTTCGCTTTGGAGTTGTAATTCAAGTGCCTATAGAATAAAAGTGTTTCTTCTTCCGAAATAGATTTAGCAGGAGTGGATTTCATCTTGAATCATATTTTATGGATAGACAAAATGAGAAAAAAGATCTGTTGTCAAGCCGTTTAAGATAATTTTCTGCTAATATCTATCAAATATATAACATTTCCAAGTCTTTGTCAGTGTTAAAACAAGTCATTCGCATTTTAGAAAGAATGTACAGACGCCGATTATGCTAAAGCAACGTGATCTATCATAAGATTAGCTGATTTAGCATGCTTGGACAAATGTTTCTCGATAAAAGTTGATGGACAGGAAGAACTTAATGATAACACTTTATAAAATGACAAAAATGGATTGAATAATCAGTTACATTAACCTTAGGTTCATGTTTCCTTATACCAAACTTTTTTGTTTTCAAAAGTAGGTTATGCTATGCATTGTGATAATGCCTCTTTTTTTCTTTACTTTTTCAGTTTACGATTGGAATGTTTACTTCTTGTG